TATCTAGTCCTAGTAAGTCATATCTAGTCATAGTAAGCCACATCTAGTCCTAGCAAGTCATATCTAGTCCTAGCAAGTCATATCTAGTCCTAGCAAGTCATATCTAGTCCTAGTGAGCCATATCTAGTCTGGGTAAGCCATATCTAGTCCTAGTAAGTCATATCTAGTCATAGTAAGCCACATCTAGTCCTAGCAAGTCATATCTAGTCCTAGCAAGTCATACCTAGTCCTAGCGAGTCATATCTAGTCCAAGTGAGTCATATCTAGCCCTAGTAAAAGATAACAAGCCGTAATGAGCCATATTTAGTCAAAATATGATTAACCTGAATGATTATTGCTCATTTTTAGACAGTTTATGTTGCAACTAGCTGAATCAAATCTCTTATTTAGACAGTTTGAATAGGATTGAGTTGAATCTAGTAAAAACCTATTCAGAATATATAGGATTTTGTCATAAAAAGCTAAACTGAAGTTAGCAACTCAAATTTAACACAAAATATATCTATTAAGTCACAGTAATAACATGTCAGATCACCTTAAGCTAACTACACAACAGTAAACATCATCTAGATTCCAAACTGAATGATAATAACAGAGTAACAAATTTGTAAAGAAGTAAAAAAGCGAAGGGAGAGAGAGGAAGTTATTTAATATGCTCGTAGAGTAACAGCAAACTCATCTAACAATTAAGAAAAGCAAATAAACCGCATTCATACAGCACAACCACCTACATATTACATGAAATTTTCATTCTACTGCTTTTGATAATAATAAAGTTGGCATACAGTTTAACATGAAAGGCCCCCTTTTTTTTCTTTGTGTCATGTCGAATTCACTCTCTTTTTTCTCAAGCTGTTTTTCACTAAATTGCTATCATTATTATGAAACAATTTTTTTTATTCCTACATATTTTTCCATTTATTATTTTGTTTTTAACATTCAATTTTGAGCTGAGAAATGAAAAAATAAAAGAATGAAAACGTTTTTGAACACGCGATTCAATTAATAATGCACATATGTACGAGGGAAAAAAGAAAAATAATAAAATATAATTTTGTGAACTAAATTGTTGTTCATATTATGACAGTTTTCGGAAATTTCAAATGATTGTCATGTCAGCGATTTATGGCATGAAATATATCTACATAAATAAACGTGTAGTGAGAATTGTGTTGCGTGAATCAGTCTAGCGAATGAAATGAGATGTTTGATGTGGTTGATCAATTGTGAAAGGAACTGCTTTGTAGGTTTGATGGATGTTTGAGATTTTTTTTAAGGAATTTTGTAAAGATTTATTGTATTATGTTTGGATTATGCTTAGAATTCTACTACAAAATGATTCAAAAACCACATTTTGTGGTTAAGTGACCTTCGTTGTCCTGCCGTTCTCTAGAAGACGAAAATTACAAAGCTACATCTATTTGAAGCTCCAACATGACAACTTAGCCTCAATTAGAAGCAAATCTGGCACTAAACTAGCCCTTCACTAGATTATATGCATTTCTGGGTACAATGTGACTTATAGTAAAGCTCAGTGCTACTCAAACTATGCTCCACGACGGACTTTTGTATCACAAAACCTTTAGTTTTTAATTGGCTGCTGGACACACAACTGCTTAGTAAAGATTATGCGCTACATACTGAGCTAGTGTACATAATATATATTTAAGAATAAAATTGTAGCACTTAAAGGTTTAGTAACACTGTTGCACAATTTTAAATTGCAGAAAAATTTTATTCGAGTCCCCACATTCATAACCCCCTAGTTCAATCCCCAAACAGTCTTTCACAATTCTTCAAATTTAACAATTCCTTTATGCATGCCATTGAGGTCAACAATTCATCAAAAGAATCAGCCACATCAATAACTTTTACTCCAAAAAAGCGCCGCACTAAAGAAATGTTGAGCTGACTATTTATGTCATCGTGTGCGAGCAGAAGGTGAAAGAGGTGAATGAAATTTCATAATCGAATTGGCACATTAATTAAGCATTCAGTTGTTCCGTTGACTCTTAAACTCTTCCCTGGGAGTTTAATGGCTCTTTAATAAAGATATTCACACAAAAAAAGAGAATGAATCACTTTAAAGTCATAAAATTAATCGAATATTTTGCCAAAATTAACGTCCAACGAAAATAAGAAGAAGATGTTCAGGAACAACAAGAAGACGTTGAATACCGTTTAAAAGTATTTTTTTGTCAATCATCATTTCATCGCTCAGCATTTCCTCTCTCTTTTTTGTATTTTTTTTACTACTCGACTATATTGTCTGCCATCGATGGAGATGATGACAGCAACAACATTGAACAAATGCTTAAGAAAAATAAAAAAGAAACACACTCGTTAAATTAAGCATAATGATAATGAGGCCTTTCCGACCAAAAAAAGAGCATTCACGGGATGGAAAGGAATTAATTTTTGTATATTCACACCGATCACGATTGTTGAATTTAATTTTAAATGGAAATTGATTATTTAATAGCGAGTATTGCTCATGCTTATGCTGTCGATTACTCATCATTTTTTTGGTGACTTGCTTTTGACTATTAATTTTGACTTGTGGTTAATAGAGACATAAAACACAATGGAAAGGTTTTTTTAAATATGCTGAATATTGTGACTGTTGATTGAGAGCAGAGATGAATTTGAGGGGTTTGGTTTAGCATTAACCTCAACTTTAGGATGTAAGATGTTGGATAGCTAAACCTGCTTTTTACTTGAGTAAAAACCAGGGCTCGGTTTCTAGGTCTATCCACGGCAATATATACCAAATATATACTACAATATGGGATATAACTAAAATTGGTCTAAGGACAAGGCCTAGAAACTTTCCCTGGAGAAAGAGAAGACGATATGATGGGAATCAATCGAGGAATCAGCTTTCAAGATCTCACATGGGCATCATACCCAAGAATTGCCGTGAAGAAATTCGAGAAACCCTACGAACTGTATGCCGTGTGCTGTTTTGGTTATGACTTACAAGCAAGGTGTACCGTAACATAAAAAAAGGTTGCCCACCACTGCCCTAGACTTGACAGCAAAGTTCTACACTTTAAGGCAGTGTTGTCCAAACTTTTTGAGCCACGGCACGCCTTAAGGGTAAGCCATGACTAAAGTCGCATAAAAATTTCTAAGGTACACTTGTGTGCCGTGGCACAGAGGTTGGACAACACTGCTTTAAGGTATGATTAAAATGACTAGAGTTGGTACCCCGAGTAGCCCTAGAAACTGTTCATATCTGGCCATTTTCACTATAACAACCAAGATCAAGCTTCAAAATCATAGCCAAAATACAACTCCAAATGACTCAATAATCCCCAACTCTGCACCACTCCAAAATTACTATTAAAATTCAATGAGCAGAATAATGAATATTTTATACAAAACTAAGACATTAAAGTGGCTAAGTGATGAAAAACAGGCAGTCAATTTTGTGAATGATTTTTATGACCTTTCGAGGTCGAATTATTGTTTTTCGCGAAAAGAAAAAAAAATTGTCAAAATTGACTGTCAATATTTTTTTTTGTATGAATTGATTGACATTTAAGTGAGTGAGAAGGTCAGACAATTATTGAAAGAAAATATTAAAGATGAAATTATTTTGTAGATGGCAAAAATTCGGTAGAATATTAAATTATCTGATTTTATAGCTTTTAATGAATTAATTATGCTAATGTGCCAATTAAGAACAAATAAAATATTTTAACTGATATTTTTCTTAATCATCAGCAAAATCTTAATTTAAAATTTATTTAAATTCGAAAAAAAATATTTTCTGATCTACATTTCAGTCTGAATTGACAGTAAAGCCTTAATTATGTCATAAAAAACTTTAAAAATTCATGAATAATTTCAATAAAAAATTTCCTTACAAAAGCACATTAATATCTGAATTAATTGCAGACATTAAAAAAAGCGCTGGAAATAAAAGACTTACAATTAAATTTTTATTACCATTTTTAGAGCTATAATTTTGTGCAAATTTTATAGCAATGATATTTTTATTTTGAAAACAATAGTGTCCATATTAATGTTGTTTGGATATAGAGCAGAAGTGACTGTTGTTTTCTATTTATGACATTTTTGTGGTTTGACAAATTTGGCAAACACCACAATTAATAGTGGGATGCAGAGCTTGAAGTCGATGAAATTTTGTATGGAGTTGAGTCGACTCCGCCATACAAAATCGATAAAAATCTCTTCGAGCTCTAGTGAGAGGATTAAAGAAACCGAAATCTGACTCCGAAGCCGATCAAATCTCAAGCGCATATGTAGCAACAAGCACCAGAAACCAGGAACTGATATTGAATATTCGTGGAATCCGGAACCGATAGTAAATACAGTAAATGCAAAACTGTCAATATCAGTTCCTGGTTCCTGGTGCTTGTTGCTTCACATACCTTCTCGTGGTATCCCTTGATACTGCCAAACACACCACTGGTGACCGAACCTCGTGCTGGGATAAGTACTTTATAAGATAGATCAAAAGCCTATCCAAACAACCTCGCCTTTTATGGCCTCTCATTCGACTAAGGATGGTGACCATTTCCAAGGTAAACAGGATACCTAATAGTGCCGACGGGAAATGAAATAAATTATCAAAAAGTCGTGAAAAGCTATTCAGATCATATTTGACCAGGAGCAGCACTAGCAGAAGACCATTCCATCAATGATATTTAAACCTGGAAGCATTTAAATGGAGCCAATGAGATCCTAAGCAGAGAAGGCAGTGTTTCTTAAATTATGCTCCACGAGAAAATATTATATGTGCCAATTTGCAGCACGGGTGAGCGTTTTTTTAAGCTGAGATTCGAACTCATTGTCGCTGTGAGACTATTTCGCAGTGTTAAGAAGTCAAGCTCTCTTACCACTGGATAATCTTTTGTGATCTTGGCTTAAATCGAATAGAATCAATAGTCAATTCTGAATTAAAATTTAGAAAAGTAATGTTTTTGTTTCACAAATTTACTGAATTCATTACTTATTCAAATTTGTCTTTAATTTAATGCATCTATGAACTTTTAAAAAACATTCAAATATTACCAAAACAAGCAGTTACTTCATATAAAAAGCCTAATTTATTGCTAGTTATTCATCAGCAAGCAGCAATGGACAGTCCAGAACTTTACAGCGCCAATAATGAGCAGCAGAATGCTCGAGATGAAGACTTTTTCAACAAATGGTGATAAACTGAGAAAGGAATTCGATGGCAAGGAAATCGCTGTTCTTGACATTGGCAGTGGCTGTGGAAAAATTTTAAAAGAAATTATTGTTGATAAAGTGGATTAAAGTTCTCAAAAGTCGTTGGAGTTTATGTGAGCGAGGAAATGGTAAAATTTTCAAATGAAAAATACGGAAGTGACTTAATTTCTTTTCAAGTCATGGACGCTGGATCGGAAATTCCTGAAAATTTCAAGAATCAAAAATTTGATTTGGTTACATCCTTTTTATGTTTGCATTGGATTAAAGACTTTGATTTGGCATTCCGAACTTTAGACTTTTAGCGGATCCAACCGAAGTTATTAAAAATCTTTTGGATGATAATGGAATGGAAACCATCAGCATTATTGATAATATGAACGATGAATTTGTTTATAATAGTTCGGAAGCTGTTAAAAGTAAGTGAATTTGAAATAATATTTTAATTGATTTAATTTTATCAAAAAAAATATTTACTAGGCACAATTGAAGTTTATGCACCGAATCTAAGACGATTGCCAGAAAGCGAAAAGCAAATCCTTTTTGAAAAGCTATTCGAAGTTTTTGGATTAAAGCAGAAAAAGGACAAATTTGTGTTTAGTGTTCGAATGATTTCCTTTATAGCTCAAAAGCCTCCCCGGAGAGCACAAGTCGGATAATCGAGACGAAATCCTACGCAAGGAAGATATCACGGCGACTTTAGAGCAAATTTTTCGTCATGACGAGAAATTCGCCCTTAGATCGTAACTACGTCGTCCTAGCGTAGGATTTCATCTCGATTATCCGACTTGTGCTACTCGGGCTCAAGAGTCAGGATTGAGTAAAACCTCAAAATCACACTTATAGGACTTATTTTATGTATTAATCGCATAACTTGAATTTAAATAAAATTATTCAATATGGAAAATATTTGTTCATATGTTTTGTGTAGCCAAAATTCAAAATGTGTTCGAAATGTTCATCAATTTGTAACATTGTTGACACTAATATGACATTTACGTAACGTTTAAGCAAGTTCAAGTTCTGTTTATGTCTTGCTTACCACAAAGTGGCATTGCAGAATTCTAGGAACCATGTTGATGGGTCTGCGTTGGTTTAGTTATTGAATTTACGCCCTATCAAGTATGTGTGACCGCTAAAGGCACATTTTACGTATTTGTGCAAGGCACCTAGAGTCAATGCTAAGCTCAGCAACAATTTAATATATCTAGCTCATTACAGACAAAATTAAGGTATGTCTAAGGCTTAATAGACTAACTTCCAATGCGGTATTTTTATTTTTTTAAAAATACTTGCTGAATTCATTACTAATTTAAATTTGTTCCTATTTAAATGTGTCTAGGAATTTATAAATATATTTAAATATCTGTCATGAAGCTTAATGAGGCCAAAATTAAAGTTAGTTTAATATCAGCAAGCAGCAATGGATAATCCAGAAATTTACAGCGTTAATAATGAGCATCAAAAAGCTCGAGTTGTGGATTTTTTTAATGTTTATGGCGAGAAATTGAGAAATGCTTTCGGTGGCAAGGAAATCGATGTTCTTGATATTGGCAGTGGCTGTGGAACGGTTTTGAAAGAAGTTATTGTAGATAACAGTGGTTTAAAGTTCTCAAAAATTATTGGAGTCGATATAAGCGAAGAAATGGTGAAATTTTCAAATGAAAAATACGGAAGTGACTTAATTTCATTTCAAGTCATGGATGCTGGCAAGGAAATTCCAGAAAATCTTAAGAATCAAAAATTTGACCTAATTACATCATTTTTCGTTTTCCATTGGATTAGCGACTTTGATTTGGCATTTAAAAATGTCCAGAACTTACTTAAACCAAATGGAGTATTCTGTTGTGTTTTAGTGCAGATACAGAAAGAAACGATTGAAAACTTCCTTCAATCAAATGATGATGAATTTATGCAATTATTTGATTTTGAAAATATTCCAAATTTTCGACTTTCGGATGATCCAACGGAAGTTATTAAAAGTCAATTGGATGCTAATAAAATGGAAATTGATATTATTATTGATGATAAGAATGATGAATATGTTTATGATAATTTCGAAGATGTTAAATGTAAGTTATTTAATTATAAAGAATTAAGAATAATTCTTTAATTCAAAAAAAAAATATTTTTTTCAGCATCTATTGAAGTCTATGTCCCAAAACTTAGCATTTTATCAGAAAGCGAGAAGCCCGAAATTTATGAAAGATTATTCAAAATATTTGACTTAAAGAAAAGAAATGACAAGTTTATCCTAAGTACTGAAACTATCTCATTTATTGTTCGAAAGCTAGCAGTTTCTGGATCCGGATTTCTAAGAACAACAAAATCACACTTGTAGGACTTAAAACTTTATAAAGCTAGCTAAGCAACATTCCAAACATCTAAACTTCACTTTCCCATCAAATTAATTCATTTGTCAACAATTAAGAATTCTTACAGTTTGAATACAACAACTCACAATAAATAGCAGATGAGAGGAACAAAAAATAAAAGTCAAGATCACAAGAAAAAGAAGAAATAATAATAATAAAAAGTGAATAAGAAGCAGCCGAGTGAGTAAGAGACCGAATAAAAGAAATAAAGAAGAAGTTAAAAAATTGTGTAATTTTTTTTTTGTTATTTTCGGATGCTTTCAACGACCATACTCAACGAAAATTCAGTAGCAATTTGTCACTGCTTTGAAAGCGGCGCGCTGAGCTGTGTGTTCTCTTTTATTCCGCTTTAATTTGCTTCTATTGAATTCTCAATTCTTCTTCTTATTACTTCATCGTTGTTATTATCATTCCACTCTTTTTCTGTGTCTTCGCCTTCCGTACGCTTATATATTATATACTTTTATTTGATACAACTGAACTGCTTTTATGCGATGCTATAATTCGTTTCAAAAGAAATTTCGTTTTCATGTATAAATATATTTATTTTATTTTTATTTCATCTTCCTTACCATCCACATTGAGTGTATATGAACATACAGACGATGAAATGAAATAAGCGGAAGAAAATCAACTCACTTTTGTTGCTCTTGACTTTGAAGATTGCTTTGAAAATGAGTAGTAAGAAGTAAATGGGGTAAAGAAAACGAACGATGATGATGATGACGATGAAAATGAAAGAAGAAAGGCATAATGTGATGTGATGTTTCCATTCATACACTTTTAGACTCATCGCAATGCAACGTAAACAGTATAATACTGTTTATTTTTGTTGTTCCTCTTTTATATTCATGAATATTCACGAGAAAATTCTCGAGTCTTGTTTATTTTAAATTACAGAGTTGGAATGGCTGCTGTTGAGACTGATAATTGGTTGCTGAATATTAATGAGATTTATGATTATGTTTGAACTATGTTTCAGTTGGAGTTAAGTATTGATAACTTATGTCTTTAGTCTATGGCAGTGTTATCCAAACTGTGTGCCATAGAAATTTTTGGAAATATCACGAACTGCACGTTCTTTGCTTTTTTGGATATGGCTTACTATCAAAGGGTGCCTTGGCTCAAAAAGTTTGAATGAAACTGGTCTATAGTGTTGTTCTATAGTCTTACTCTTGGTTTTTGGTATATATGAGCTACCTGATGCTGAGCAAGTAGTTCTTAGTGCTAATTGATAGTCTTTCTTTCGACTAGAATATGATTTTATACTTAAAGTACAATATCTTGAATGATTAGGAATATTTTAAACTACTTGTCTCGAATAGGAATCAAACCAATGCTTGTACCATTTCTGGTTGTATATTATAATCATTAAGATTTAATAGCTTTACGAATTTGGCAAGATCAGCCATTTAAAACTATTATTCTTATCTCTTATCAAAGAATACCTCGATTGGATGTGTTGATAAGGATGCTAGAGTCCTTAATAATCCAAACTAGGAAGAAGGTCTCGAAGTTTAGAGCTGTCTTTAGACGATCTCTGAACGCGGCAATAGACCAACGTGCACCTCAGCCAAGGAAGTAAGCATGTAAGTATTCTTATCCGAGCTAAGCTTATGTTGTATTTGTTCGATGTTTTGCTCTATCTGGACTGCACTAATGAATACATTATCATCCTTTTCAATTGTGGGATTGATTTCTAGTGCAACCTAGTAAATCCTAGGGTAGGAACTTAGTTTGACATACAATTCCCATCCTATGTTACCGATAGTTGGTATTTACTAATAGATTGCATCTCAAACTACAACTCTCATTACATGTGAGTCCTGAAGCAATTTGATGAACACTGGCTTCACACAAAATTCATCTGAATAAAAAATCAATGCCTTCAGTTAACACCAACTCTGGTTTTAACGATGAATCTTCTTCTTCTTCTTCTCGCCTTTATTTTAGTTCATAAAAATTATCATCAGTTCATCCATGCAGACATAAGTACACACCATTCATCCATCGTATATAGAATGAAAATTGTGAGTAAGTTATCTATGACTTATATATCTGACAAGAGTTAACTAATGTTATGTTATTCTCAACAGCATACATAAAAATAAAAAAAAGGCACTGGAGTCTTCGAGGAAAATTCTCGGAGAAGAATAGCGTTCGATGGAATTTCTGATAGCGCATTTTTTACTGCTGTTGTTGAATATATTTTAGAATGGTGCGGTAATTGGGAGAAGAATAGAAGCTTTCGTGGAATTTTTGCTTCGTTGTTTTGGAATTTTGTTATTCTTTAGAGTTTTTTTTTTGTTTTTGGAGATGATCATCAGTCGCTGATATGATTGTAAGGTTTTTTTTGTTGAATAGCCGCAAAGGTATAAAAGGAATTTTGATTTTTTTTTTTTGTAAATTTCAAGCATTTCAAAGTTTGGCAACCATTAAATTTTATAAAATATATCAGGCTCGGAAACTAGGCGATATACCACCAAATACTGCCTAGTAAAATTCCACCTAGTTTCCGAGCCTGGAAAATATATTCAATAAATTTTGCAAATAAAATCAGTTTTGTATATTGTTTAAGTTGTTCAGTTTTAATGAAGAATTGGAGACTTTAAGAATGAATTTTAATAATTTTACATTTTTCGTAGTTATTTTGAACTTGATTTATGGGGCTTTGTCTATGTCTGAAGATGAAGACTGTCCATGTAAGAATTTTACTTTATTTTTGAGCAAGAAAAATTTTTTGATTATTCAATTGACATTTTAGGGTGTTCTCCTCCTTACTATCCTGGATAAATACAGAATCAAAGACATCATCAGACATCAAGACAAGTCTTAAAACTTTAAGAATCACCATTTTAAAATTATCTAAACCATGTTTTCATTACTGACTGTTTACATTTATCTTGTTTGCTTCAATTCTGATGGGAATTGAAGAATACACAAAATTACATTCAATTGAGGCTCTTGACAATCGTCTCTGACTGAAAAGATTCGCTAAAATCATTCTTTTAAAGAACTACCCGATCAGCACACATCGAAATTCATTGAAATGTTTGTCACCCTGCAGCCGAGTTGATAGTATAATTACAACCAAGCTTCAGCTAATTAGCAATGGCAGCTCCGTGGCATCCAGTTGGAAATGCTTTGGTTCTAAATTATATTATCAACCCTCCAAACATTTCAATGTGTGCCAATCGGGCTAAGCAGAAATTTTTAAATTAATTACTCAAAATAATATTTCATCCCATTTCAAGTGCAAATTTCCATTCTAATTTCTAGAATTGCCATTAAATTGTAAATTTTATTTTAGTTTCCTTCAACATGCCATGTCGGTTGAAATATAAAAAATCGATTATCCCACACGTTCATGTAAAAAAAAATATTGTATTTAATCACAAAATGTGGCTTGCTAAATAAATAAATTGTATGTAGACATATTCCGAACCCCAAAAACAACATTGTGGAAGGCATGGAAGTGAATATGAAATTTATAAATATACATGCACATACTCCGAGTGACTTGAAAATTAACTACAGAATTTTTTTTGCCTTGTTTCTGTCAAACTTGATTAATAATGCTTTTTTTTGCGGTTGCTTTCAGATTTTTTTTTGTTCCAGCGTGGCGAATGAATTAATAAATTATTGAATGAATTATTAAGAAGAGGAAGTAAGACAGTCATCAAATGCATGTAAGTTTCACTGTTGAGGCGTCACATAAAAGGATTTATGTCGATTTTCACCTTTTTGTGTGTGCATTAATACAGAAAATTAGTTCAGCAGCACTTCCAATTGTCTGCTGGCTAGGGTCTTGAACTTTCTTTCTTTCTACATGTCCAGCTATCCTTGTCTATTCGTTTCTTTATCAATCTGTGTGTTTGTTTGGCCAATTTTCTATCTTAGCTATTTTCTAGGGCTTACTTAAGCACAATTGAATCAGACAATATTTTTAGACCTTAAGATCGATAGCCTAAGATAGATGTACAGCTCAAACCTAGAGCTACAGTTAATAGTGGGATCCGAACCACTCCTCTGATTGCATTTCTGCTTGTAGCCTACTATGGAAGGCTGTGAGCCTCATTTCCTGTTCATAGGATTCGAAAAATATTGGATTCGTGGTATTGTGATAATTTGGTACCAAAGTACTAAACTATTACGCCACCGAGCCACTTCAACTCACAATTCAGCTCATTACACAAAATTAGGTGTAATAAAAAATCAACTGTGATGTGACTAGGATTGAATGTATATGATTTTCCATCTGTCATTCTCTACGTTTCGGGGATATTTTTTTAGTGAATTCGAGGGACAAGTGGAGATAAGAAGAACGTTGAGGAGAGAACTGAAGCCTTCAAAGAACAGTCAAGTATCCAAAAGAGTGGCATAACATCAAAGGCATGTTAAAAATGATTACTTAACAATTAAAAAGATCTCTACAAGGTTTTTGGGAATGCAAGCTGACAAATAGTGTTTATGGGGCCCAACATACGACTGGAGAGGTGCCATTTAGGAACAATAAGAGGATTGTTAGTTAAATGGAGTCAAAGATGAGGAATAAGAAAGGATTAACGAGGTATGATGGTGTGAAATGAGGTTTAAGATGACAAGAATGATGAAAATGTGAAAGCGAGAGTATTGAAAGCAAGTCAGACAGCAGAATTATGATAATAAAACCTAGTACTTTAAAGAAGTTATAAAGTAGTTCCAGAAAATCATGATTTTAAAAGATGCGATTTTAAACCCATTGCTCAAAAACCTCTTCCCCGGATTTTACATTTTATGCATGCAGATCTTTTTTCCTCTCCTTTTCGTTCATTTGTAAAATTGAAAAGTCACGTTCAATTATATCTCTTGACTCTTTTTTTTCTCTTCATTTCATACATAATACATTTGATGAATGTTAAATTTATTTAATTGAAAACTAAATGGATGTGTACGTGAATGGAAGAGAATGAAGAGGAAAAAAATGTATATTTTTTTCTGATTGAATGCGAAATTGAATATCTAATCGGGAAATGAATATTTATATGTTTTTGAAATCGTTTGGTGGTTTGGGGTGGGTCATCAATCAATGATGTCTATATGTGAACTTAAAAATATTGATTTTTTTTCTAAGAATAATAAAATATCTTTAAGTCATTTGATACTTTTCATATGCTACAAAATTACCATAAAGACACCTCATTCATTCTGCCTATTTCCATCTCATCAACTTTTTACAAAACCATATTTATCCCAAAAATTATTTCAAAAGCATATCTAAAATCTGTATCAAATTCTCGTCCATAAAACTATTCGATCGGAAACTCTATAATTCAATTAATAATAAAACTTTTTTTTTGTTTTTCTCATCATAAAAATAAATTTACATTTGAATTCATTTTAGATACAGAATATATGAAAATTAAATGAAATTTAATAACCCGAACGTCTATGTCTATTCTATTTATTTCAATATATTCAGTCTCAATTTTATATTGTAAATTTTTTATTGATTATACTGTTGTGCCAGACTCTATATGATCATGATGAAAAATCACTAAGATGAGAAAAGATTTATTAAATATCTCATTTTATTTTACCTAAAATCGATTTGTGCATTGAATGAATTATTCAGGGCTGGGATTTGGGATTTGTTTGAGTTTGGCATTCTTATTGGGTTTAGCGTTCTTTTTGAAGCAACAATGAATTCATAATCGAGCAATATTGAGCAACAATTGAGCAAAATTGGCAAGACTGAGCTGCAACGATGAAATTTGAGCAAGACTGAGCTACAATGACGAAGTTTGAGTAAAACTGAGCACCGATTGAGCAAAACTGAGCTAAAATGATGACATTTGAACAAGACTGAGCTACAATGATGAAATTTGAGCAAGACTGAGCAACAATTGAACAAAACTGAGCTATAATGACAAAATTTGAGCAAGACTGAGCAACAATTGACCAAAACTGAACAACACTCATAAAATTTGAGCAATACTGAGCTGCAACGATGAAATTTGAGCAATACTTAGCTACAATGATGAAATTTGAGCAAGACTGAGCAACAATTGAACAAAACTGAGCTATAATGACAAAATTTGAGCAAGACTGAGCAACAATTGACCAAAACTGAACAACACTCATAAAATTTGAGCAAAACTGAGCTACAACGATGAAATTTCAGCAAAACTGAGCTACAATGATGAAATTTGAGCAAGACTTAGCTACAATGATGAAATTTGAGCAAGACTGAGCAACATTTGAGCAAAACTGAGAAAGAATGAACAAACTGAGCAAAGCTTAGCTTGAGCAGTTAAAATTCAAGACCAAATAATCAATAAACCCCAAAAAAGTTCACAAAAGTTGTCAAAAAATTTTGTCATCAAAACAAAAAAAAATCCTTCAAATCCCAACTCTATATCTACAGAAATATCTAACATGCAATGCACACATGTATGTAGAGATAAATTTTTTTCCTGAATAATTCCATCAATTTTCATTTAATTTTTATGCAAAATCCATTTTGACATTTGATATACATACATACACATACGTTTCATTGAAAATTCAATTGTCATTCCATTAATATCATTTCAATTTCACAAAAAAAAAACTACAGAGTCGAGATAGAAGAACATAAATTTTAAAGCACAAGCTTTATTTTCTTTTCAGTCTTAAACAAAAGAATGAACGAAAAAAAAAAAAGATATGGAAATAAAATACACGAAATTGAATGAACGATTGAATGAATGTACATAATAGATATCTTGGAGTCGCTGAGCGATTCAATAACAATGACTATAAAAATATTAGCATACGATACAAGACGAGAGATAACATTAAATAACATACTTTATAGAGTTTGAAAATCGCTATGCATACATCCATTCCATTCCTTCTTATTTGCTTCAATCTTCCACATCAACAGCAAGATATATGCGAGTTATAACAATAGAAAATCGAGGAAGGGAAAAAACGAAGAAAAATGCATTTAAAGCAGCAAAAATAAATTTCTCGTCTGGATTGAAATGAGAAAATTGAAGACTCTGCTTTTTTGCTAATGGCAGTAACAGCAGAGTCGATGCTGTTCATTGAAAGAACATTTTCTTTTGAAATTCATAGTTGTTAATTTAGTGGAAACAATTGTGGGTTACTGAAAGTCAATTTTGTAACTTCAGGGAATTGGAAATTGAGAAGAGAATCAATAGAAATGAATTTTTGCATAAATGATGATTTGAAGTAAGCGCATTGTTTGATGTTTGCTTGGGTGGTTTGTTTGTGGAGTTTGTTGCTAGGAGTGGATTGGATTTTTTGGAAGTTTAGGAAGTTAAATAATTTGAACAATATTACGAAACATTGAGCAAAATAAGTAACATTGAACAAAATGAGCAACACTGAGCAAAATGAGCAATTAAATTGAGCAACACTGAGCAAATGAGAAACAGAATTGAACAAAAATGAGCAAATTAGAAACAGAATTGAGCAAAACTGAGCAAATTAGAAACAGAATGAGCAAAACTGAGCAGAATGAGCAACTAAATTGAGCAATGCTGAGCAAATGAGAAACAAAATTGAGCAAAACTGAGCAAAATGAGTAACACTGAGCAGAACGAGCAACTAAATTGAGCAATGCTGAGCAAATGAGATGCAAAATTGAGCAACACTGAGCAAAACGAGAAACAAATTTAAGCAATTCCGAGCAAACTGAACTCAACTAAGCTCAACGACTCTAAATCTAGTCACAAAAACTCTATAAAATTCACACTACATAAAAAATACCCAATCAAATTTTCAAATCTGACGGACATGAAATCAATGCTAATAGTTTCAACTTCAAAATGTCATTGACGTCATGAAATTTATTTCGAAAAATAAAAATTTAAAATTCAAAAGATTTTTTTATTTATTTTTCAACATGGCACTAATTTCCTATGTATATATTCCGTGCTAATCAAAATATTTTATGCTGTCATTCTGAAGTAGTTTGTAATTTTAAAGCGAGAAGATATTTTTTGTAAGCACCAGCAATTTCTGACAAATCAACGTGAATTTCTCACTCTTTCATTAAGTTTTCATGATGATTGAAATAAATTTTACTTTTATTTCATTTTCAAGCATGTAATACGGAACAATTTTTATGGTGCTTACTCACCATTTCCATTTTCTAACATTTTTTTTATTGCGATTTTAAATTGTATGATTAAGTACGAAATTGATTCTTTTTTTACGATTTAATAATGTGCTTTATAACATCAATCGGTGCTGGTTATGGCTTCTTTTCTCCTCTCCACACCCAATTTCCAAAAATAAGAACGGATTTACTAGAAATATATAAAATATGAATTAATTTTGTGGGTGAGATTCAAGACACATTTAATTAGCAACTGCGCTACACACAAAATCGTATTATAATGTAATTTAATGAACCTTTACCGTTCCGTTATGGGTAACGTACAAAAACTAACCACAGAAATTAAATTTTAATTAAGATAAATACTTTTTCCACCGAAACTTTAAAATGTGAAGCATAAAAATATTTTTTTATAGTTTTCTTTGTAATTATATTCAAGTTACCGACATTGCGACGCAACTGCTGTGCAAACAAAATCGATAATTTAAAGTTTGGGTGCTGAAATGAGATGCTGAATATTTAAATAAGGTTGTATGGTTATTTTATGGCAGTCGTATCTTGATGTTAATTAAGAAATTATTTTAAGTTGAAATAT